CTATCGGTACTTGCCGCCGTACCTGGCCATGGAATCGCAATGGTATGGGTTCTGCTTGCTAGTGTCGACAGCAGTCCGTGCGCTTCTGGCGTTGAAGGACGCATTGATCACAACAGGCGCACTCGTTCTTGCCCTTCTTCGAGTCCGTTCCAAGCTCGAAGTGCTTGGTGCGCTTGATGGGCTTCATGCCTCAGCGCGAAACTCGGCGGCAACATAATTACGGACCCCCTCCTACTTCCCAAGGCAACAATCGGATCCACACAGTGCCACCTTGAGCAGATGCTTCACACTTGCCGGAAAGGCGCGCCAGAGACAAATCGGGCTGCTTGCGTCCAGGTGGCGTTTGGCCTTGNNGCCTTGCACTTCGTGCACTCAAACTTCAGGACCTCAGTGTTTGCCACTTCTCTCTGAATGTGGCGCCTGGAGTTTCAACTGCAACCCTCGCTGAGGACACCGCGATCTTCTTGGTCGTCTTCGCCTCTGCATTATGCGGCTACCCTATCTTTCCGTCATTCGAACTCCCCCAACTGCCAAGGCTGCCCTTTCACAGGGACAAGTGGAAGTGCCAGGGAGAATCTTGAATCGACCACCCCCAAGGACAGGGAGAGCAAAGCAACCAAGCCAACTGCAGCGGTCCACTATGGACTCCGCCTTCTTGTGGAACACTGGCTTGGTTTGTCCACCAAACCCGGCCTGTCAAAGGCTTCAGGACGAGGGGTACCACAGCATTCCGATGCTTGGTTTGTGCCTGCAATCCCATACTTCAGGGAGGGACCGGGGTTTGATGCGTTTGGGTGCTGCAGCATGGTTCTGACAAACATCCCGCAACCCGGAACGATCCCACAATCCCACGATGCCGTCGAGCCTGCTTCTTGTCGTACCGCCTCTTGCCCTGCGCGCTAAGGGATGCCTTGCCCGTCTTGTACTGCGAGACCTGGTATCATTGAATAGTATAGATTGTTGCAGGGGAGCCCTTGTCGCAATTCAATAGCTAACCGAGGAGCCTCTAAGCTGGACTCTGGACTTCTAGAGTACCCTCTTCACATCACCTCCCGCGCCACGCGCCTTGTGGGGCGTGTGCTTCTTGCATTTCCTGGCAGCAGAACAGAAATACCCTTAACCACCAGTCACCCAGTGTGCCCGGGGGCCTGCAATAGGTGTTCCGCGTCTTCGGAATGTTCACCATGTCCGAGAGACCTTCGGAGCACCGCAGGCTTCCGCCTGCTTTTTCAGCTCCAAATCCAAATGCCAGAACTTTCTTCCGCAAGCAAACAACCTCTCATCCCGGTCTTCACCACAAGGCAAGCATGTACCACTCCCTGCACATGTACGTCGTTCTGTCACTGTCCGGTCTGGCAGTGACTCTGTGGTGTCGTGCCCGCTTTGGCTTCAGTTCAACCGGCATCGTGGCTAAGGTTACATGTCACAGAAGATTGGAGACTCCACCTGCTTCTGCTGGAGCTACTTCACAACTGTCTCATAATAAAGCCGCGACGCTTCTTCCTACCTCCATGCACATGTAACAAAACTCCGGCTTCTCCCAAAGCTTATTGGCACAAGGCAACGACTGGGATCACAGCGGTCTATGGAAATAAGACCGTCAAGCTAGACTAGAATATCTAAAACGGAACGGTTGCAAACAGGAAGCGAAGGGTTGCTTTCGGGCAGCGGAACCGCGCGACGCACGGCAACGTGAGGGTCCTGAGCTCCCTGCGCGCGCGGTACTGAGCAGCGCGTCAGAAGTCGGGTGGGCGTCTGCTGGCTGTTCGGACCCTCCCTTGAGCCCAAAGAAGCGGAGTCCTTGTAGATAACCTGCAGTACTACGCCCTGATTCCTTTGCAACTCTGATTGATTCCATCAAGGCCCCCACAAAGTCTCAAGACAGGTGGGCACCTGTCATCCCTGCAGTCCGCCGAGCGAGGGTCCGCAGGTCCACATGTTCGTCCAGGATCAACTTGGAGGCATACATCTCCAGAATCTCCTGCTGTCTCCCACCGCCCGCCTCTCTGGCTCTCGCTTCGGCTTCCGGGGCCCCCGGCCATGCGGCCCTTGAGGTCCGGGATGGGCACTACAATCTGCCGGTCCAAGCGCCCAGGCCGAGTGAGGGCCTGGAATCCGCAGACTCCAAAAGCCGTGACCGCGAATGAACTTCAAAGACTTCAATGCGTCGCTTCTAGAGCCTACGGCCACGGCCCACTCCACCGGCGGGCCAGTCAGGCACACACTCCGTCACCGAGCCTTGTCGAGGGACTCTGGGAAGTTCGTCGCACAAATGACGACGACCCCTGGCATGCCCCGCACGCCGAAACACGCTCCCTAAGTAAACGCGACGGCTCGGCCATTGTTGTTCTCAAAGCCGTCCATCTCCACCAAAAGCTGGTTCAGAGTCATCCTGCGCTGTCGGAGCTGTTAGCCCCCAAAGGAAGCCCCGAGCAGCAAACACGAAAGCGTAAAGGGGACCGATCCTTCAGGAGAGAAACGGTTTGAAAGGGGCAACAAAGCATGGACTGAGTCGGACCGGACGGACTGCACCTGAAGTCTTACATCAGGTGCTGCCCAGAAGACAGCGAAGCAGGAGCAAGGATTCCTCGCAGACAGAAGGCCTGGCTGCTGACCTACCTTCCATCCCCCTGCTGCTACTATACGTGTGTGCCTGGACCTTCCTTCACGAACCGAAGAATCACAGAGAGCTTGCTTTCTCGCGAAGTCTGACCATCGATGGCAATCCCTCTGACGCCCTCTCCTGACTGCTGTGTTGTCCCGGTTGGAGCGCTTGGAGCCCACAGCATCGATCTCGTCGATGAACACGATACAGGGCGCATGCTTCCGGGCCTCGGAAGGGCCCAAGCATGCGAGTCTGTGCTTTACAGTCTCCGCCTAATTACCCGGCCTCTTGAAACAGGTCCCGGATGCGCCGAGCACCCACTCCAACAAACATCTCCTCGAATTCCGATCCCGATGCCTCGACAGCCAAGGCCATGTCACGAACAATGCCGGGACAGGGCGATGGCCGGTGGCCCACACCGGCCTGCAGGAAGGGGACGCCAGCCTCGCCAGCAATGGCCCGGGCGAGCAGCGTCTTGCCAGTGCCCGGCGAGCCGGACATCATCACGCCTGGAAATCTTGGCCGCCCGTTCATGTCTTGCTGTGCTAACTCAAGCAACGAGCAACGCGTGCTCGCAAGAGTTGAGAAGCATCCTCGGCCTACCTGTTCATTGGGATCCTCCACCAGTGCACATGCGAAGTCCCCTGACCCTGGAAACGTCCTGGACATCGCTGACTCGTCGTTGCGATGCGCGCTTCATGACGGAGCAAGAGCCGACAAAGACAAAAGAAAGGACGCTTGCACGAGACTTTTGTCCAAGGCCCTCACAGAAGGCTTCAATACCATACTGGTGCGTTGCACACAGTGCCCACACGTGTCGTATCGTGCCGTGTTTGTCGATAAGAACGCACGCTGGCAACAGTCGTTTCGCAGATGCACAGCGTTGCCCTGCACCGGCAATGCATCTCGGGGCTGTCAGGCCTCACTCAACAATCAACTTTCTCATGAGTCTTGAGTTTGTTTCGCTCAAGGTTATGCTCTCCATCCAGGCACCTAGTTCTCACTGTTCACACCTACTGATTCGTTGACTTGGACAGACAACTGCGCTCTTTAGCTGCACGGAGGCAGTGTTGAGCAAACACGCGTAGCTCTCTGCGATTCTCTGCAGCTCTCTTCCCCTGCCTTTCGGAAGCTTCGCACCAAGCCGGGTGAAGCGATCCGGGTCACGAAGGTAGAGGATGATTTCCTGCAGCTCCTCCTGGGACCGAAATGGCCCAATCTTCAGCGGCCAGCATCTTCGGAGATCCAGGCCTTGACCTCATCGCAGCCTTTCACGTCCTCGAAGGTCGTGTTCACCTCCTGGGAAGCTCGGCAGACTTGCCCATCCCTCAAGAGACATAACATGTCCCGGACAGCCTCCACTGGAGTGATCTTCTTGGAGCCCATGCCGAATCCCTGGCCGGAGGCAGCTCGCTTTGAAGGAGAGCCTTGCCAGAAGGCTCAGGCTCGGCCTTCTGTACATTGCCGGCCAGGCCCTCTGCAAAGACTGTGACGCCAGCAACCATGATCAGCATCGTCACCTCAAGCAGGGACACGTTCGTTCGGGCAGCGCGAGGCTCCGAGATTGCTGACGGGCACCGAAACAGTCCACTCCCTGTCAGCGCCCTTTACCTGCCGCCGGAACCGCTCCCCCAGCAGTTCATCAGAGCGGCACTGGACCGAAGCAGCCTGGCGTCACTGTCATGCACCCGCTGTGCTGTTCAGAACCCTTCCGTGTATTTTATGATGTTTAGGCCGAAAGATCGCCAAAGGCTCCATCTCACTACCAGCACCGGTTGGTGCAAGAACAGGTCACGGTTCGTCGGGCCCAGCAAAGCAATGCAGCGATCCTCCAGATGGCGCGTCGGTTGGTGTCTGCGATCTGCACCTGGAAGTCCGGAAGAGTCTGGAAGTGCAAGGTCGTTCTGGCACGTTGTCCGGAAAAGAGGTGAGATTCGGCGTGGCAAAAGCTGGCTCCTGGTTTGCTGTGAAAGTTCCGAGAATTGAGACCGAGATCCCTGACTTGCCAGATCCGGGATTCTCAGGGCATATCGAAGACACGGTTCGTGCCTCTTCAAGAAAAGCCTTCTGCAGAACAGCGGTCGTTTGGGTTTCGCGGCTTCGTGAAGCAGCTATCCCCCGCTGGCCTGCAGCGGCTCGGTCTTGCTAGGGAGCTTTAGCTCAACCTTGGACACAGACGAAAGCTCGACGTACCCCCCGACCATCGCTTGGCCTTTCAATTCTTGTACCAGGGTCAGATCCCACCAACATGCTCGAAACTAACATGAAGCCCTCCTCACTCTTGGGCTAGCCCTCCTCAAACCGAGAAGGTAGCTGAGGTCCAAGCCACACCGGGATTCGCATTTGGCACAGGACCTGTGCTGCTAAGGGAACTACACCGGCCAGACTCTGTGTGCTCAAGGACATTGTGCGAGTTTGCAGCTTGTGCATCAAATCTTCAGCATTTCCAACTGAGCCGTCGCCCAAAGCGTGCACATTGGCAAGCCATGGACCCAAGGGCTGCACAATTTCTGACAAACAAAGGATGCAACGAGCTGCACATGCAAAGTGCAATGAACCATCCGGCCTCTTACTCAGCAAGTCAACAAGCTGATGATGCACTGTTCAATCATGCAAACTTTGCTGGGCGGTCGGCTTTCTGCCGCAGCTGCCGCATGACGCTGCGCCTCTGCAGTGCGAGATTGCGGAGGGTCTGATCAATGGCCCTGTCTCATCCTGCCTTTGCCTCGTCTAAACTTGACTCAGCCTTTGGCCCTAGTAATCCCCTAAATTGGTAAGGCTGTTGTGCCTCTCCTTCACTGATCTTGACTGCGGGATCGTCTTTCCACCGCGCTGATCGTGAAAGGGTTATGGCATGGACTCCGTGAAGAGCTTCGGGGCTGAAACGGAAGACTTCAAAGCTCACAGCACCACTCCTTCTAAAAGGTGCCCTTGGCCCTTGGCCGGAGCCCATCCCACGACCCTTCAGGGGCAAGACTGGGGCAAGCATGTTCGCGGCCCGAGACGCATTTCGCACCCGGGCCTGGCCCTCAGCCCCTGCAACTAAGCCACCAAGCACTGCACACCCGAATTCATTGAAATTTAGTCAACCGCGGCTACAAGCCCGAAGATCAGCTCAGATGTCACGAGATCTGCAACCCGTTTACCAAACAGCTTAGTATGTGGCAACGACGGGGCTGCACACGGTGAAGGCTCCGCTTTTGCAAATTCTTCAGCTCAGCTGGGCTGTTCACAGCAAAGCTTGCTGAAGCGGAGAGGCTTTATAGATGACCTAGATCCTTTGGGCCACCAGTAGTTTGCCATTTGGGAGCTAACCACGCAGTTCAGAACTGGGCATGCGGAAGCAGGCCATTCAAGCTTCGATCACCTCCACAACCTCGCCAGGGCTGAGCTGGAAGTTTGCGAGCAAAAGCCTAACACAGACACAGCCCCCATCACAAACCTTCCACCAGCTGATTGAGCATGATGGCGCTCGGGTCCGTGTTGATGCACGGGTCCTTTGAGCCGGAGCACTGCGCAGCGTGTCGAGATGGAAACCTTACCTTCCAAGCTGCTGTGACACGGATCCCTGTGGAAAACTCTTGGCGAGCAGGCAGCAGAAAGGGACGTGACATGACATGCAAAGCAACATGCATGGTAGCCAGGGGAGCAACATCAGGAAGTGCACAGAATGCGTCATGCTCCAACTCCCCCGAAAACCTTAAGTCCTCGTCGTCCGTCAGGCATTCCAGACTGGCTTCACCCTGCACACACTTGGGGTCTCGCAGAGCCACGAGGCAGCATGTGGCCAAAAGCCCCTCCCACTGCTCGCAGGTGTTCCTCGTCTGTGGGCGAGGCAGGCATGGGCAGCGCGAACTCGGGCCTGAGGTGCTAAGAGCTCACTCAGCAAGAGAACGCCGGTGGAATCGCCGTAGTCCGACTAACAGATACTCACAGACGAGAAACAAGGCTGGGAGTGTGCCATTCTGGCATCGGTTTTCTTCAAAAGACCTGGCTTCCTCCTTTCTATTCGACGTGACTGCAAGGAAGTTCGAGCAGCAGTTTCCCTGTCTTGCTGCTTTAGTCCCTGCCAAGCTGCGGCTCTAATGGCCCCAGAGCAGGTTGGGCCTGGTCGCTGCCATCGCTCCTTCCAAGGGCTCTTTTTTTGGGGGCTTAGGGATGGCTCTTGAAGGGTCACTCTGAGGATGACATGCAGAAGATGCCTCACCTCTTGACAGACCGAGAGCCCGGCGGCAGCGCGGGAACCAGCGCGGGCAGCTGGCATTTGGAGCGGTTTTTGTCTGAGGGCTTTCCATGTTGCTGGGGCAATGGAGTGGGCAGCTGAGTTGTGTGCGCGCGCCCCCCGTTCGAACTCCGATTCACCATTGGCCTCCAGCTGTGCACCGCGGGCGTCCTCTGGCAGCGTGAGGAGCCTGGCGAGCGGAGGCTGGGAGCCCGAGGACTGCACAAGGCTTGGGGACTCCGCCATGGGGGCGTGAAGCCAGATGATCAGCAAAAACAAAATACGTCGAACGCCCATGTGGTGTTTAGAGACCTCGGACTCGTACCTGGGAGCCACTGTCAACTTTCCCATGCAACCTGGAGGAAGTGGTCAAACACAGGACATCACGAGACTGCAAGGAATCTCTTTCGACGCTGCATGAAGAACGGGTATGTAAAGACAAGCAAGCCGCCGGAAACTGCGCGAAAGCAACTGCCTCGAGTAGACCCTAACCTTGACCGCATCTAAGCCGCCTGCAGTCTTATTGACTGTCAACAACCCGATGCGTTCCCGCGAGCCTCAGCACTTCCTGCGACGGGAGGGTCAAACAGTCAGAGTGAGGGATCACGTCCAGTTCTTCAAAGTCATCCAGCACAAAAGCTCCAGCAAGCAAGCGAGAGGTGTGAAAGGATGTTGCCCAAGCTTCGGGACCTTGCCTGTGTCCTGAACTGTTCAGCTCGGACTTGCGATTTCTACAAATTCCAAAAAGGGACCCAGGCTGAAAGGCAGCCGGCCTCACCAACGATCCTCACCTGGGCACTGACGATAGGATGGGCGTTCAGACCGAGCAGGCCGGCGCACAGCATGGCTCAGTACACGTGCACATCCAGGCAAATCCCAGAGTCTTGGGAAACGGGGTGCTGCAACAGAACAAGCGAGCCCTGTGCAACCTTTGGTAAACCGCGGCTAGCCTGGCGACACTGTCAGGCTCCGGCGATCTCCGGCTCGGCAAATGTGTGGCGTCGGCAGAGCAGGAGCCAGGCATTTGTGGCGCTGACCAGCCTCACGCGGCTGTGAGCACAAGGTAAATTTCATTTCAACCCGTTCTTCCTGCAGGCCAGTATAACCCCTTTCTGACCTACCCAACCTTTGCAATTGATGAACTCGCATGACAGCTCAAGTCTTAACTCAGGGAACGAAAGGAAGCACATGCAATGTGCAGGAGAGAGATCTCAGAGTAAGCTGAGCTATGTACATTTTGCAAAAGCGTCAATCGTTCCCGTACTTTCGAGTTTGCCCGCGCCCGGACTTGCCCGATTCACCTTTTGCTCTGTTTGCTCGTGCTGGCACGACAAGAAGCAAGCAGGCAGATCAGCACAACCACTGGCAAGACTCAGACTGCAGAAGTACACGGGATCACACAAAACGACCTGATTGACGAACGAGGTTTGGATTGCTCGTGTGGATGGAGTGCAAAGCCTCTATCACGTAAGCACAAGGCCGTGACCGAGTCACGGCTTGACGAACGGAAAGTATCTGGATGTTCACGACAACCGCAGGCTACAGACAAACAAGAACTAACCGTAGAATTGAGGAACAATCGCCTGCTGAATGCTTGAGTCCAGCTGTGACACCTCTCTCGATCCGAGGTCGCGGTCTTGCTATTTATTTCAGGTTGGCCGGAACGGAAACTCTGGAGCTCTGGAGTCCGCACCCGCCGAGCTCCAGCGAGAAGTTGACGCAGACCTCGCTGCAAGACATGTCTAAAAATGGTCTTCTGGCACAGCATGTTCAGCTCTCCAGGTGCCACTGTCGGAGAGAAACGTCCCGCTGGTTGTGTGGCATCAACAGAGTGCACTAAAGCATCTGCGGAATTTTTTGTATAAGCAGAACTCATTCATATGGCACCTCCGAGATTTTGGTGATCGCGTCGGCAGATAACTTGCCGTCATCTGCCATGTCCTGCACAAAGAGCGCAAATCTCAGCTTCAACTGTAAGCTCACGGAAACCTGCCTGTGATCTCTGGTCCACGTATGGGCCGAACATCAGGCCTGATGCATCGCTTTGTTTGCCAAGAACTTGACCGAGTTGCACTTAGGCTCCAAGGTCCCGGCAGAAGGCATTAACAATCGGGTCAACCTCAGCAGTGAGCTCCCGCTGAAAACCTGCATGGACTCAAACCCATGCCCTAGGCGCGCCCTCCCTTAAAAGCCACACGCTCTCCCAAGCCGATCCTCGCCCTCTCTGTCACGGCGTAAATCTGAAGAAAGCGTGTTGACGGAACCCGAGGCTTGTCTCTCGCTTTCTTGACTCTCTGACTCTTCACAGACACTGAGGCGCTTGCATCGATACCCGACCAAGCATAGGGCATGCCACATCTTCGGCCTCAAGAAGTCTTGCTGGCAGCAAGACCTCACAATGCTTCTCTTGACTGTTGGCTACAGTATCCTTCATCCGGCACTGAATACTGAAATGAGTTGTGAATCTCTTGAAGTGACTGGAAAAGCCGAGCACGAGAGAATTCTACTGCCGCTGTGGCTGTTTGCGGCATTCCGTGCACGAGCTGCTGCTACTACTACTACTACTACTACTACTGCTACTGCTGCTACTGCTACTCCTACTCCTACTACTACTACTACTACTACTACTGCTACTACTACTACTTGTGAGCATGCA